TAGACTGTCTTGTGTAGTTCTTCTATTCCGACTAATTAGCTTGTTGTAATTATGTGTTTTAGTGAATGTGATATGGGATATAATATAACTAAAGAATAGACCGGTCTACCACATCGGTCGGGCAAGCTCGAAGTAGAGAAAACCGCGTTGGTCGACGGATGATCGACCAAAAGGGAAGAGATCGAGCAGAATAACAGAACTGGTCGAGGATCGACCTAGCGATGGGGGGCTCGATCAGATCAAGCACCCAACAGGTGAAGAGCAGTCGAGAGCGTGGCTTGAACGCGAGCGTGGGTGGCGTTAGAAGATCCTAACGGTAGGCGCAGAAGAATAATCTCCCTCCACTCAGAGGGACACGTGGCGAGAGTGCATTGGTGCAGAGCAATAGTGGCGATAACCACCTCTGACATCTCTGACACACGCACACTGTGTGTGTACGGACGGGCAGCGCGGGTAGGACAGCTCACCAAAATCCGGGCAGCTCCTAGGGTAGGTATCTCACTCCTATATATATAGGAGTGGGTCTTTTCTTGTGAGACTTACGATTTATCCATTCTTTACTTTGGAAAATTGAACAAACACATACTGACTTAAGCATCGGAGGCTCTTCACCGGAAAACCCCTCCGGTGTGAGAGTTCTGTGCAGGTGCGCGGCGTTCTACCGGCGAGGAAGAGGAAGGCGAAGCCGGTCGGAGTGTTTTGCGTTACCAGAATGAATTTGGCGTTTCGAGAAATAAAAAAAATCCATGAGAAATCAGCATCACTAGTATTTTTAAGATAAATAAAGATAAATAAAATGTCAAAAATAGACTTAAAAAATAAAAGAAAAAAAAGGACCCAAACATATGTTGTATCTATCAACCACATTGCAAATATCGTAAAGGCGTTATCAACATTACAATTTACAGAGAATAAGGGTAAATTACGCCAAACCCCCATGTGTTATACGAAATAGGCGCGCTTCACCTTGTGTTTTAAAAAATGCATGACACCTCTTTGTATTTAAGTAGTTGTTGCACGATTCACCCATTCCGTCCAACTTAACGGCGCGTGCACAACACTTTCTATACCTGCAAAAATTTTACATTTTTTTTATTTTACATAATTAATAAATTACCTTTATACCCTTCTGTGCTTTATTGAACAAACTAAAATTTTTTGCTAATAGGAGGAATCGAACCTGGGTGTAAAGGAGGTGAGCTTGCCCACTAAACCAATGGGCCATATAGATTCTTGTGTAGGAATTGTACACAACTACATTTATTATATCATCTCTAAACGAATTAATAAAGTAAAATTAAAATATAATAGGTAAATTTAAAACAAATTAAATAATAATAATAATAATAATAATAATAATAATAATTAATAATAATAATAATAAGAGTTTGAGAATAAAAATAATGTAAAAAATACAGTATGATAGAACTTAATATAGTAGCATGAATTGAAATTAAATAAATTATATATTTCTATTATAAATTAAAATTAATATAAATTTGGAAATATATAATAATAAAAAAATTATATTTAAAAATAAAAACAATAATTAATATAGTAGGTACATTTAATATATATTAAGTAATCATAACAATAATAATAATTTAATAATAACATGAAATAAATTAAATTAATACAAAAATAATGAAAAATAAATTATAATAAAGTTAGATAAAAGTAATTATAGTAGCAGGAATTAAAATTAAATAAATTAACAATTTTATTTATTAAAATAAAATTACTAAATATAAATTGTAAATGTATAATAATAATAATATTAAATTAGAAAATGAATAAAAAACTAAAGTAAACTAGTTAAAATAACATGAAAAATATAATATGAAATAATAAAATATAAAAATGATAATGTATATTATAAAAGAGTAAATTAAAATAAATAAAAATATTAAATTAACATAGTAAAATAAAAATATTATTTATCTAATAATTTTTAGTACAATTTACTCTTCAATACCCTATTTATAAAAAATTAGAAAGAAATTATTATTTTTAGTAAATGATTTTAAATAGAAATAAATAATTTTAATTTCAAAATTTTATTTAGTAAAATATATTTTAATTTTATATCATTGTATTAAGTTAAAAAAATAAATAAAAATTGATAACTAAGATATAATAAGATGAAATAAAATGAATAATTCAATAGTATAATATGAAATAATACAATTTAAAATAAATAATAAAAACAAAAGTAGATGAAAATAATTTAAATTAAATAAAATAAATATTGTTATTTTAACTATAATTTTTTTGTAAATACATATAAGTTATTGTAATTATTCAATTTATTTTGCATAGTTTATTATATTTTAATTTATTATAAGCTTATAGTTTATTAATGTATTTTAATATAATTTACATTATCTTTTAAATTTAATTTGATTTGTACATGTGTAATGTCTATATATATTTAACGTTCTTAGATCAAACACACAAGTTAGACTGGTGGGGTGGTAACAAACCTCCTTTTCCTCCCATGAGGTCTTGGGTTCGAACCTCATGGCCAGCAAAATTTTTTAAGCCAATTTATCGCGATATTTTCAAAATATCGTGATAAATTCAATTTATCAAAAATATATATAAAAAATTCAGAGGGTATAACGGGGTTTTCAGCAAGAATTTAACTCCGTTAACTGGACAAATAAAAAAAAAGAGCGTGTGCATCGGTTACTCTAATACAAGGGGGTGTTATGCATTTTTTAAAACACAGGGTAGTAACGCGCCTATTTCCTATAACACAGGAGGGTTTGGCGCAGTTTACCCCAGAGAATAAACAAGTTAATAAACAAAGAACAAAACCGAGGAAAGGGCAAAAAATCAGCCGCCGGAAGCATGCGTCGCCACCAGCATAGGAGGCGAAACTTCTCGTCAGTCTCGAATTCCGATCCGGATTTCGGAGAAGGCGAGGAAGAGGAAGAAGATGATGCGGAGGAAGGATCCGCCTTGGGGCGGCGCCGCCGCCGGGGGATGAAGATGAAGTGCCTCTCGTGCAAGGAGGACTACGACGGAGATCGTGACGCCGGCACGTGCCGCGAGTGCTACGAGGAGGCCGGCGAGACGGAGGAGGAGCTATAGCGTGAGATCGAAGACCTAAAGTCCAAGGTCAACTTCCTCTGGCTGCTGTCCATCGGCCCTAATTCGATCATCCGGCCCAACACGCTTTGTTCTCTGACGTCGTTCTGGTGGCATCCGGTTCGCCGGGCTCATCCGATTCGCAGTGCAGTTCTCCTTCAATTAGGGCTCATCGTGTTGTGTTGGTATTGTGCCCCTTTTCACCAATTTCTGGTTAAATCTTACGATTTCTTCCAATTCGACGTGTTTTGATCTCAAATCCTTCCAATCTCAATTTTATTTCAGTGCTATTTAATTGTAACACTCATTGGTACACGGAGCTGCGTATTAGGTTGTCTATGAAGTTTGGGAACGTGGTGCTAACAAAACATAGTACTTTTTTTTTGGTTGTATCAATTAATGCAATTTTGATCTATTTGACACTTGTTTCAAAATAAGGAATCTACATATTTTCGTGTTAAGTCTTAAAACCCACTTCATAGTTGAAGTGATAAAGATGTACCTTGGACGTGCTAAACTACCACAAAAAGAAGCATGATGCTTCTCGGACAAGCATCTCTTGCATACTTACCAGAACAAAGAAGCATAATTCCATAATCTTTGTGAACATTCCAAAGAGTTTTTTTGCAAAGTCTAACCCTAAGGATCTGTCCAACTGCAAAAAGCACCAACTACATTGACATTTTTTTTCTTACGTTCTGTACTATGTGGACTTTCTGGATACCATGCAAGTTGACTATTGCATCTGAATTTGTTTTGATGAATAAAAACCTCAAGAGGGTCTCTCTTCACAGCAAGTTTGAGGACGGTTGTTTTACTTCTGAACAAAACCGAACATTTCAGGATTATATTAAAATCCCCGTGGCAAGTTTTCAATCATCACTATAACAAATCATAGCTCATTCTTGAAGTGTCGCTACTTGTGTCCATTTATAATATAAGGATAAACTTTCAACCAAAAATTCTTTCCAGTTGCTTCATTCTTTCTTGAATAAGTAGGTCGAAATCCTGGCACAGTGCATCCATTAGCAAATGTTTTCAATATGTGGCCTAATGTAACTACTGTAGCAATAATCTTGCATTTTCTATGCAGTCAATCAGGTCCCCTGTTTTCAAAGCCATGCTCGAGAATGAAATGGAGGAAAGCCTAAGCGGAACAATCAAGATTAGCGATGTGTCTTACGATGCCCTCTGTGCATTTGTCAACTATCTGTACACTGCCGAAGCTTGTCTGGACGAGCAAATGGCATGTGACCTCTTGGTGTTGGCTGAAAAATACCAGGTGAAGCATCTCAAGAAGTATTGTGGAAAATTTCAACTATGGGGATAGATCAACACTTACCTGCAACAACAACAACAACAACATAGCCTTTAGTCCCAAGCAAGTCGGGGTAGGCTAGAGATGAAACCCAAGAGAAACACAAAAAGACTCGAACCAAAAGGAAGAGATCGAAAAAAAAAGAGAGAGAGAGAGAGAGAGAGAGAGAGAGAGAGAGAGAGAGAAAGGAGCAAAAGTCACGGTTCTGGCACGTTGATAGCGAGCCTCAAAGCGCTCCTATCCACCGCTAAATCCTTTGAGATATTCCAATCTTTAAGGTCTCTCTTAACCGACTCTTCTCAAGTGAGTTTAGGCCGACCTCTACCTCTCTTAACATCCTCGACCCGCTGTAGAACTCCCCTGCGCACCGGTGCATCACGAGGCCTCCGTTGGACATGTCCGAACCACCTCAGCCGATGTTGAACCAATTTCTCCTCAATTGGAGCCACCCCGACCCTATCTCGAATATCCTCATTCCGGATTCTATCCCTTCTTGTGTGCCCGCAGAACCAATGCAACATACGCATCTCTACTACACTTAGTTGTTGGACATGTTGCCTTTTTGTTGGCCAACATTCAGCACCGTATAGCATCGCCGGGCGAATCGCCATCCTATAGAACTTATCTTTTAGCCTTTGTGGCACCCTCTTATCACAGAGAACGCCCGACGCCTGACGTCATTTCAACCAACCGGCTGCAATTCTATGCCTAACATCAGCATCAATGCCGCCATCCTTTTGTAGCATCGATCCCAAATACCGGAAAGTCTCCTTCTTGGCCACCACTTGCTCGTCAAGGGTAACGTCACCATCATCATGTGAAGCCATGCTGAAAGCGCACGTCATGTACTCAGTCTTCGTCCTACTAAGTCTAAAGGCTTTCGACTCTAACGCGTCCTTCCACAGTTCCAACTTCCTATTTACCCCTGCTCAACTCTCGTCAACTATCACCACATCATCAGCAAAGAGCATACACCAAGGGATATCACCTTGTATGTCCCTTGTGACCTCATCCATCACCAAGGCAAATAGATAAGGGCTCAATGCTGACCCCTGATGTAGTCCTATTTTAATTGGGAAGTCGCTGGTGTCGCCCCCACATGTTCGGACACACGTCATCGCATCCTTGTACATATCCTTGATGAGGGTAATGTACTTAGATGGGACTTTGTGCTTTTCTAAGGCCCACCACATGACATTTCTCGGTACTCTGTCATAAGCCTTCTCAAGGTCGATAAAGACCATGTGCAAGTCCTTCTTTTGGTCCCTATATCTCTCCGTCAACTGACGTACTAGGAAAATCGCCTCCATGGTCGACCTTCCAGGCATGAACCCAAATTGGTTTTGGGTCACACTCGTCACTCGTCGTAGGCGATGCTCGATAACCCTCTCCCAGAGCTTCATCGTATGGCTCATCAACTTAATCCCACGGTAGTTACCACAACTTTGAACATCTCCCTTGTTCTTGAAGATCGGTACTAAAGTACTTCTCCTCCATTCATCAGGCATCTTGTTTGACCGGAAAATGAGGTTAAAAAGTTTAGTTAGCCATGCCAACACTCTGGCGCCCAAGCATCTCCACACCTCAATGGGGATACCATCAGGGCCCATTGCTTTACCTCCCTTCATCCTCTTCATAGCCTCTCCGATCTCTGCCTCTCGAATTCTTCTCACCACGCGTCTATTGGAAACAAAACATATACCTGCATGAAAAAAAACTATACTTAAACTATACTCCTCTCGANAAAAAAAAAAAAAGGAAACCTATACTTTACAATCATGAGAAACAAACATCATAACTCCTCAAAATCCAACATTCCATCAGAATTCTCATCGTACGCATCGATCGTCTCCTTACAGTTCCCTCCACTTTTCTTGTCCCACAATCCCATTCTCGTGAGCACGCTTTCGAGTTCCTCAGACGATATGAATCCATCTCCATTCGTGTCGAAAACCTTAAACGCCTTCAAAAGATCGTCTTCCATTTCGTCATCTTTTCCTATATCTTTTGCTCTGGCAATCATTATCTCGTAAAAGAACAAGAACTCGATATAGCCGAGACTCGTGTGACCCCCGAGCTTTTTGAGCTCGTTTAGGCTTGCTTGGATTTCAATCATGTCGAGGAGATTGTGAAGCTCGTGAATTCTGATAAGCCGTTGTTGTCTTTGTCAAGGTTTGTGAAGATCCTGTGGAGGTCATTTGTGGTGATTGGAGACATGATATTTTTGTGGNAATGAAGATAGGAAGAGAAGTATATGATCTACTGCCTAGATTGTTTTCTTTCAACTTGATTTTATGCAGTTGAGAAGTGAGGTAGGGGTTAGAAAATATATGTTGTAAATGTTGTATTAAATATTCTGGTGATGGGTTCTCGACCCCACTCATAATTAATGTACAATGCAAATTTGAAGTGTAACACTAGCTAGACAACAATATTTTATTTTATTAATAAAAATGTATATATAGGTATATATACGTGATTATATGTTATACTTTTATTTTATGTGATTTTTTAAAATATAATATTTTTGCATAAAAGTATATTGTATGTTTGTTGAAAAAAATATAATTACTTTTAATTTTATATAATTTTTAAAATATGGCATTTCTACATGGAATAAGTTTTGTGAAAAGATATAATTGTTTAATTGTTAGATTGACTAAGGACACTATTGATTATATAGTGTTAGACAATAACATATACATATTATTAGGGTGTGGAATTGTGCAAATGTTTGAGAGAGAAGTATGTAATAGAGTTGAATTTGTTGTAACACAATATTTTTCAAAACGTATACAAAATAAGGTGATAATGGTGCTTTATACCACTTCAACAAAAGAAAAAATGAAATCTAGCCACCTTTTTGAAAAGAATGAAATATAGCCATTTTGGCTTGTAAAAGTACCTAATTGCCCTTGGACATATTTTTTTTAATTTTTTTCCCTTTTTCAGTCACCAGCCCGCCCGACCTGCCTCTATTTCATTCTGCGAAAATTTGAAAAAAATTGCAGAGCTCCGGCGACTTCTACGAAAATTTCAAATCTAGTGCCTTCTTTCATCGATTGCTTGTCCTCCTCCGGCGATGCACGCCAAAATTCTGACGATTCACTGTTCGTCCTCCAGCGACTCACGCCCGCAAATCGACCTCCGTCGAGTGCTCTCCTCCTCCGGCGATTTAAGGTGAGGTTCCTTTTTTTTTTTTGGGTTTTTAGGAGATTTTATCGAACCACATAGTGCTTTCCTTCTCGGTCGATTTTTTTGTTTGCATATATTTTTATTTTGTGTTTTTAGGCGATTTTTTAGAGTTTTATTTTAAGTAAAAATGTGTATTTTGAGTCCAATTAATTTTTTAAATTGTGGAAATTATTTCAATTGTTGTGCCGATTGCCAGGTCTCTTTCACTGTGTAATTGTCGTGCATTGCCATGTAAGTGACTGTAAGATCGTTTTAGTTATCTGTTGGGAACTTGTGTGTTTTTCTATGGGTTGGGTTTTGTTTTGTTCTCTGAGGTCCTCACCAAATTTGATGAGAGTCAAACTATTGAAGCTTTTAGATATTTTTGCGTCTTTAAATAAACTAAGATTGGATTTCAACCGCTATTTGGCGAGGCCACTTGTGCAGAGATTTAAACCTGACAAAGGATCTAATTAAACGAGTGATTAAGGTGCTTTCTTTCTTGGGTTATTTAATGGAATTGAGAATCACAGTCATTTTCACTGCTTTTAGATGACTATAATTGTAAGAATGAAGAGCATGAAGTTGTTTTGGAGATTTATATTGGGAACAAATATTACATCTTTGTTCTGGAGTGGTTTTTAATTTACCACCAATGAGATTGTTTGTGAGTCTATTTGATTACTAAATTCTTTTCATTTTAAATCTAATTTCCAAATCTGTTGCATCGGCTAATTGCCTAAATTTAGCTGCATTGTTTTGCAAGATAATTCTTCTTGTCAAATTTAAAACATTTCTTTACTTGAACAAAACCGAATTGAATTGCATAATCTAGAAAAAAAAGTGTATGCCAGATTGGTTTTATGTAAACTCTAATTCAAAATTAAAGGCAAGCCTTTTATTTAGGATAAATTAGTTTAACTTCATCCTCCGCATTCGTGTACTATCCTGAATTGTGATTTTGTATGTGTTACCTACTTGCATGTTCTTCTTTGGTTGTAATATTATTTTAGTTGTTTGTTGTTTCTTGTTTAGCTTTCTTCTTTTCCTTATATTTGACGCGCAGATGTTGTTGTCTGTGGTTACTGGTTAGCAACTGTTACGTTTATTTTTTGCCTGCTTGTGATGTTTTGTTGGCCTGTTGATTGTAGGTAGTCATGCTTCTATATAAATTTTCGCTTTTCTTTTGTTTACCACAGTTGTGTTTGGGTGCCTTTGCCCTTAAGGCGTGGCATACTTTAATGTTGTTTGTTTTAACCTTGCAGTATTGGTGTTTGGCTAGTGTTTCTTTTCGGAAATCTATTGGTGTTGGTGGTCAGGAACTATGGATAATTTGAATTGTTGGTGAGTGGATGTTGTTGTCTTTTGTGTTTGTGTCTTTGTAAGATTTATGTTATGGCTTGGGCGGTTATTCTATGCATTTATCATGGTGCTCATCTTGTGTTTCTCTTTCCTTGGTCAGAGTTTCTTTTGCTTCCTGTCAGATATTGATAATATATTTTTGGGTTGGGCTCTTTTTGGGTTATGCAAATATCATTTTTTATTTTTTGGGTCGTGCATGCTGGGAGTCTGTTTTAATTGTGGTCTTCCTTTATGAAATCAATCTATTTTGAGGAGACAATTAGCTAGAGTGGGTGACACTTCTTTTGGGTGTGGTTTTACAATTTGTTCTACCTAAAGAAATTAAATACTCTCACTAGAGTGGGTGACACTTCTTTTGGGTGTGGTTTTACAATTTGTTCTACCTAAAGAAATTAAATACTCTCACTAGATCGTATTTACCTATGGAAATATGCATTCTTTGTCTTTAAGTTTTGTACATTGACTCCATCCTACATATGGCAGGTGTTTGGTTGTAAGAATTTGTCAAATCAAAATTTTCGTAATGAGTAGAGCTAGCAACAAACTTAACTATGATCAGTTGTGCTTCATAGCATCTGTATGGCCTCTATGGAATTACTTAGTCCACATAGAGACACTATTATATTCAAACCTTTTTTTTTGTTTGTTTACACTTTGAATTGTCGTTTGCTTTTTTATTCTCACTAATTTGAATTGTCTGTTCCTGGAGCACTAAATTCAATTATATAACTTATGGATATTGGCACCTCTCTGTTTGTTGGAGTAGAAAGAAAAGATACACCACCGGATGGGAATAACATCTAAGTCTGTCTCATTTATATCTCTACTGTTTATGAACATGCGTCTACTTTTATTTTGCAGTTAGATATTTTCTGAGGTAAATTAACTTATTTCCAGCATTGATAACGTAAAGTGCAGTAAATGTTTGAATTGAAGCGTAGCAAGAAACAAGAAACATGATTCTTGAGGAAGAAACTGGTTTCTTGAACAAGAAACAAGTTTCTTGAGCAAGAAACAGGTTTCTTGAGCTCAAAAAAACTGGTTTCTTGAGATCAAGAAACATGTTTCTTGACAAATTTGTATTTAAACTTGAGTTTTTCTTGTTAAATTGTTTCTTCAACATGAAAACATTCAAGAAACACGGGTTTCTTGAATGTTTAACAGGTTTTTTGAGCAAGAAACAAGTTTCTTGAGCAAAAAGCAGCTGTTCAAGAAACAGGTTTCTTGAACTAAAAACAACTGTCTTGAGCAAGAAACAAGTTTCTTGAACAAAAAACAGCTGTTCAAGAAACAGGTTTTTTAAACAAGAAACAGTTTTTCTTGAACAAAAAACAGCTGTCTTGTTCAAGAAACCTGTCTATTGTTCAAGAAACCCGTCTCTTGTTCAAGAAACCCGTCTCTTGTTCGAGAAACCCGTCTCTTGTTCAAGAAACCCGTCTCTTGTTCAAGAAATCCGTCTCTTGTTCAAGAAACTCGTATCTTGTTCAAGAAACCTGTTTCCTAACAGTTTTATTGAACAAGAACATGTTTCTTGAAACAGTTTCTTGAACAACTGTTTCTGCTTTGTTGTTTCTTGACAGATTTGTATTTATGTTTTTAATATTTAAATATTTTGTTTTTAAAAAACTAGAAATTGTTTAAGAAAAATAATATTAATTAATTGTTTCATGATTTTAGGGTGATGGTTGGTGCTGGAGATGGCAGAAAGCTTGCCGGTGGAAGAAAAATTTGTTGGTTTTTCGCATGAATATATGTCGAGCGCATGCTTGGGGAGGTCTTTCCAATGAAATGAGTGATCGAGTAATCAAAGAATACAGACGGAAGATGGCATTAGCTATTTTTGCACAGGATTGAGTATTGTAGTTGGTTTTACGTTGTGTTTATTAATAGTGAAAATAGCTATTTTCACCCCGTTTTGAAGTCCTCCTAAGTTTTTCACACCACCCAATAAAAGGCTACGTTTTTCACCCCAAAAAGTACGAAGACATAAGCGATGAACTATGCGATAGATAGACGACCTTTTTCTGAGCATGGGCGAGAAAATTATGAGTTAAAGTATGCGATTGTTCTGCGACGAGTATGCGGAAATTCGATGTACGATTCGGTCAATCGCGGTTCGTCGCCCATTAAATAATTATTCTTGTTAGGCGAATGAATCTGCGACTATTAGTCGAAAATATTATTCTGCGAGATACGAACGTCGAATATTATTCACAGAGTTGGTGCATTATAAGGTTTTTTCGTAGAATATTTTTTATTTCTTTCATCTTTCAGTTATGCGATGGCGTATGCGAATTGCCGCATATTGCTTGCACTTCTACTCGAAAGTTATTTTTTATTTCTTTCAGTTATTTCAGTTATGCGAGGGGGTATGCTTATTGCCGCATATTTCTCGCATATCCCCTTCGCACTTCTACTCGAAAGTTTAATTTTTATTTCTTTTTTTTTTTTCACCTTTCAGTTATTTCAGTTATGAGATGGGGTATGCGAATTGCCGCATATTGCTCGCATACCCCACTTCGCACTTCTACTCGAAAGTTTATTTTTTATTTCTTTTTTATTTCTTCCACCTTTCAGTTA